GCTCTCACTAATTCATTTATCTCGTGCCTTTGGGGGCAGGGCATTATATACTTACCGCAAATGACCGCTCCTTATTCAACCCCTATTATGCCCGCTCATTCTCGCCGAAACAGAGGTGAACGGCAAGAATTTATAGCGCCGGAATTACCAGTGAGGTACGCGAGCCAAACCTCCCTTCAGTTACTCCCGCACTTTACGGTTTCAGATCGCAGATTCTGTGCAACTACTATCGGCTGTACCGTAGCGCCGCGTTCACCTGCACTCCGTTCCGACGCAGCACCTTGCTTCCCACACCTAATAATCCTCGTCTTGTCCCTGACTTTATATAAAGGCGGCGCCACAAGATCCATCCAATTACGGCCGCAGCGCCAGGGTATAAGTGCAGCTTATCTTGCCTGAATTCGAACACGTTATCCAGCCTACCACTCCCAGCGTCCGCCCCAATGGTCTGTGTCCCCTTACAATTCGTTTTTCTTGTCGACTTCCAAGGTCACGTACTGGACAACTCGCGGGCCAACACCTTCCCCCCCTCGGCGAACAACGTCATCATCGGGCAGACTCTAAACTCCCCATTGACTGCGAATCAGCAGGTAAATAGCGTTTGCATTCACTTCAATGTGCGCATGGCTCACGCACTGTGTCTGAACGCAGTGGTTGTTCGAACCGGTGGGCGGCACGGGGACATTCGCCATCGCGAACGGCGCACTTGACGCGAACACGGCGTTCGTGTCATACCCCGCGGCCAGCGCGCGCCCCCAACTCCCGTTCTTTGCGCAAGCAGCGACCCAGATAGCTAGATCCGAGGCTCTCATATTCAAAGTGGAGTGCAACTCCACCGTCCCAAATGCCGGGGTGTGCGTGATGTACCTTGGTAGACCCCTGGGGACATGCGTTGATTCTCCAGGTTTTTAGCATACGGGAGACAGTGTCGGGCAACGTCCTGACCGCGTGGCATGCGGATCCGGCGGGGGGGAGCACCACCACACCCGTCAGTGCATTCGCAACTGCAGATATGCCCTTATTTAAAATTTATCCCGACAGGTCACATACGAGACATTCACCGGGCGTCCGGAGCAGACGTGGTCATTCAGGAGTTTCTAGGACGGCGAATAGGGAGTGGCAGTTCAACCTGTCCGAATACGTAGGCGATGGGCGGCGGCGGCTCAACCTGCTGCTAGACCGAAATGTACTTGTGTCTTCGCTCATCCTGGCTATAAAGCTGGAGACACTAGGAATGTCACAAGCCACAGAAAAGACGTGAGAAAAAAGAGGCTGACGAGAGATGAAAATTATTTGACGCCAGCGAAGGATACTCAGAAATTTGCTGAGAATCTTGCACATTCCTCCCTGGGACTGGTTTGATTCAGTGAATTAAACCTCCGCATGGCCCTCGAACGAGTGCTCCTGCAGCTCTCAACTCATTTCTACCGCTCCTGCTCTCAATCTATGTCTACAACAACAACAACAACGGGGGGGGGAGGTTATATTATATTCGCGTGGGATGCAGGCGCGGAATCCCCCGGAACCAGGCCTTCCTCTACTCCCTTTGATCTCGATTAGATCGATCCCCACTAAGGCATTCACAGAAATCCACTCACAATAGCAAAAAAGGACGCCGCCATTGCATGGCCCGGGCTCGAATCGAACGAGCGCTCCCGCTAATTTCACCTCTTTCTTTAGGCGCGAAAACCACCACTACCAGGCCATCATTTCGTACCCGTGAGCTCGAATAGATTCATCGCTAGGCATTCAACGACTTGAACTCACTCGGAGAAGAAAAAGACGCATGACCAATATATGACCCGGGCTCGAGTCGAACGAGCGCTCCTGCGAAGCATCAGCGATGTTTGCCCATAAAGTGCAGGTGCGGACCCCCCGCTACCAGGCCTTCATTTCGTACCCGTGAGCTCGAATAGATCCAGCCACTAACGAATTCAACTCACCACGAAGAAAAAGACACAAGGAATCCACATGGCCCGGGCCCGAGTCAAACGAGCCTTCCTGCTGAGACATTTGACAGGATTGACAATATGGTGCAGGCGCGGAACCCCTGCTACCGGGCCTTCCTCTGCTCCCTTGGAAATCGGTCAGGTTCATCACAAAGCATTCACCGAAATCTGCTCACCGAGAGAAGGAAAGAAAACGAAAATGCCATTCATGGCCTGGGCTCGACTCGAACGAGCGCCCTGCTTGAATTCCCGTCCCAGTGACGTACAGGTGCGGAGCCCCCGCTACCAAGCCTTGATTTCGTACTTACCTTCCAACTCCAAAGATTCATCGCTAGGCATTCAACGACTTCAACTCACCCGTAGAAAGAAAAAAGAGGCAGCGATCAATCAAATGGCCCGGGCTCGAGTCGAACGAGCGCTCCTGCTCGGAATGTCCTACAACAACAATGAGATGCAGGCGCGGAACCCCGCTACCGGCCTTCCTAGGCTCCCTGTAAACTCGATTAGATTTAATCATCACCAAAGTATCCACAGAATCCAACTCACTCTGAGAAGCAAAAAAATCTTTCGCGCTGTAACATGGCCCGGGCTCGAGTCGAACGAGCACTCCCGGGAAACATCTCTGACCTTCATTAGATCAACATTAGATACAGGTGTCAAGCCCCCCGCTACCGGGCTTTCCTCTACTCCCTGCGAGGCCGCATAGAATCACCAATTCAGCTCCTCCAGTGCGCTCGCCGACGGTGTGATTGCAGCAGTTTTCAGCGAGCGGTGACATTGCGGTGACCGAGAAGGAAAATGCGTGAAGGTACGGCTCCCCCCCGCGCAGTGATGATGTCTCGGCATCGCGAATGGGTTGAGAGAGACCTCGCACGTGCCCCCGTCATCGCCCATTCGGGAAGCTGACTCAGCGTTATTCTTTTAGCGCCCATATTACATAGTGACAGTCGTTTAGCGCCCCACCAGCGCCAATTCACTTGGCGCGCAATTGGCGCTGATAGGCGCTGATGCGGCCGTCGTCGAGCGCTGCGGTTGGGAGCGGCCGCGAGCGGGTATCCACCGCGTCATCGAGAATCGATGTATATCAAAATATTGGGGTGGCTAAGTTTGGAGTGCGAGCGGAGGCAACAAAAATGGGGGGTCCTTTAGGGTCCCTTCCATTGCGAAACGGGGTTGCATAGAATTCGGTTCTCGAAGGACCCAAGAATGTGGCAATGACGTGCGCACCCAGCGTCAATCGATGGTTCCCGCGGCTCTCAACAGTTGAACCCAACACACAGGTCGCATTTGATACGATACTATAACAGACTACAGTTTAATTTGTTCATTTTCTTTCCTTGCTTCCATCATTTTCGCTCCTCACTCCGCGGGCTCTTCACAAGAACGCGCGCAGTCGCCGAGGCGCGGCGCCTACTCGACAATGCCTGAGGCGACGATGGTGACGGTCTTGGAGGGCGTGCCGGTGTCGCTGCCGAGGGCCTCGACCTTCTTGATGGTCTCCTGGCCAGAGACAACCTCACCTGTGGGGTGTTAGGATGCAACGAGGGGAAGATGATGGGGGATGGAGTGGGGTGGGGGCAGGAAAAGGGGATAACAGATACAGATCAAATATGATGAACGTGTGTGGGCGGCAAGATGGACGGCGATGGTGCGATCGATGGATAGATCACTCGGCGTTGCAAAGACGACGAGCGAAGCGGACGAGGAGGAGGGAGGGGGGGGGGGGGGGGGGGTGGGAGGGGAACGCACCGAAAACGACGTGCTTGCCATCGAGCCACGAGGTGACGACGGTGGTGATGAAGAACTGCGAGCCGTTGGTGTTGGCGCCGGCGTTCGCCATCGAGAGGAGGTACGGCTTCGTGTGCTTGAGCTTGAAGTTCTCGTCTGCCCGCCAATTCCATCAGCACTTCTCCCACGCATTTCGAGAGGGAGAAGTACGCACCCTTGAACTTCTCGCCGTAGATGGAGACGCCGCCGGTGCCGTTGTGGCGCGTAAAGTCGCCGCCCTGAAGCATGAAGTTGGGGATGATGCGGTGGAACTTGGAGCCCGCGTAGGTGTAGCCCTGGGTGGTCGGCTTCCCATTCTTGTCGAGCCCCTGGGCCAGCTTGCGGAAGTTGTCCGTCGTCAGAGGCACGACGTCGTCAAACAGCTTGAACACGACGCGCTCCGGCTGTTTTTCGCCCGCAACCTGGATGTCGAACTGCGCGCACGGTAAGTAACACACAATGCATCCACGGCGCGGGGGGGACGTACGAAGACGTTGGACATGATGGTGGTGGTGGGGGGAAGAGGTGAGATGAGGATCGATGGTAGATCGATGGATAGATGCGTTAAAAGGCCGGCAAGCCCCGGGGCCGGCTGTGACGAATCGGGTATCGGATCTCCGCGCACGGACCACCACGTGACTTCGGCTTGTCCCGAATCTTGAATCAAATCTGCTTCACGTTGCCTCGAATCTGCTTCCTCCGCGACCATCTGTCAACCTCAGGTAATTCCCTGCTGTGCCGGCGTGATGCGATGCGATGCCCACAGGATTGCGGCGTTCGTGTTCTATCTAATCCATCCATCCATCCATCGGGATTCTGGCAGGACGCGTCTCTGGAATGTTCGGTGCTCAGAATTCTGCCGTCGACGTCGAGGGGTACTTATGCGCGACTCAGAGTGAGCAAGCGCCCAAATAATGGTCATTTAAATGGGCTCATAGCGAGTGGATTGAGACCCAGTAGCGGATGGTCCGCATCTGCTCTCAATAAATTTTTGACCTGGTCTATCCGCAGGGCTGCTCGTTCGACTCGAGCCTGGCCGTATGTAGTTTATCATAATTTTTGGCGGAATGAAAAGAACGGAAGCTAATTTAAATCGCTTAGTAGGCGGTATAGGAAGGCCCAGTGGCGGATGGTCCGCACCTGCATTCAATGTACGATCCTTTGCAGTGATTCCTGCAGGAGATGCTCGTTCGACTCGAGCCTGGGCCATGAGTCAATTGGCATCTGTTTTGCCTCCGGGATTCAGCGAACGCTAATTAACTGACCTCGTAGGCTTTGGATGGAGGCCCAGTGGCGGATGGGCCGCGCCTGCACTCAATAGCTTGTCTTTCGACAATGAGTTTCTGCAGGATCTGCTCGTTCGAATCGAGCCTGGGCCTTGGAAAGGAAGGGCATCTCTTTTTCTTCAGATCGTCAAGGAAATAATGCCTTCAATGAGGCTCCTAGCTGGTGGATTGAGGCCGAGTAGTGGACCGTCCGCACCTGGTCTCGTTGGGGTTATATGAAACAACGCTAATTAAACCACGTTCACAGGTCCAAGAGGAGGACCCAGTGGCGGATGTTCCGCGCCTGCACTCAATGAAGGTGAATCTGAGTTCTGTAGAAGATGCTCGTTCGAGTCGAGCCTGGGCCATGAGTATCCTTTCTCGCTTTTTAGCGGAATGAACGAAACAATTCTGATTTAAATTGGGTAGTAGGCAGGGAGGGAGGCCCAGTAGCGGATGGTCCGCGCCTGCATTCAATGAAGAGCGTCCAATGTTGTCTTCGCAGGAATAGCTCGTTCGAATCGAGCCTAGGCCTTGCCTCTTCCGCTCGCAGTTTTTTGGCGGAGTCAACGAAACGGCGCTGATTTAAATCAGTACACAGGTATGAGAGGAAGACCCAGTAGCGATGGTCCGCACCTGCATTCAATGCTCCTCTTGTCAACCGTCCGCGGGAGATGCTCCTTCGAATCGAGCCTGGGCCGTATTCGGCCGCACAAGGTCCCTTTTATTTTATTTGCGAAGTCAACGAAACAACGCTGATTCCAGCAGGCTCAGAGCTGGTGGACTAAGGCCCAGTAGCGGATGGTCCGCACCTGCAATCAATAACTCTGTGCTGCAGTCTAGCTGCGGAAATGCTCGTTCGAATCGAGCCTGGGCCTTCAATAAACAGGTGAGACCCATCTTTTTACTTTTTATTTTCCGAGTCGGCGAACAACGGTGATCTAAATTGCGGAGTAGGGACAAGAGGAAGGCCCAATGGCGGATGGTCCGCGCCTGCTGTCAATACTCACCGCATCGAAGTCCATACAGGGGTTGCTCGTTCGAATGGAGCCTGCCGTAGATGCCCTCGTCTGTCTTTTGTCGCGTAGTCAGCAAAACAACGCTGATTCAACCAAGTTCACAGCTCCGAGAGGAAGGCTCAGTAGCGGATGGTCCGCACCTGCACTCGATTTCTGAAAATGTCCCGATCTGCTGGAGATGCTCGTTCGAATCGAGCCTACCGTAGATGCCCTCGTTTGTCTTTTTTTCGCGTAGCCAACAAACAACGCTGATTCAACCAGGTTCAGAGGTCCGAGAGGAAGGCCCAGTAGCGGATGAACCCGCCCGCCCACAATGTGTGAGATTCTTCCTCTAACTTTATCATGCGGGAAATGCTCGTTCGAATTGAGCCTGGGCCATCAGGGTTAGGACAACAGTTTTTTCCCCTCCCGGTCTCAACGAAACAACGCTAATTTAACGAAGCTCGTAGGCAGCAGAGGAGCCTGGAGGGCCCAGTCGCGGATGGCTTCCGCGCCTGTACTCAATTCCCAGATGTTCTAGCCCGTTCTGCAGGAGAAGCTCGTTCGAATCGAGCCTGGGCCGTAAGCGGTTACTGTCTCAGCTTTTTAGCGGAATGCACGAAATAACATCGATTTAAATTGGTTCGTACTAGGCAGGATGGGATGGTCCGCGCCTGCATTCAATGCATGACCCTTTGCAGTGATACCTGCAGAGATGCTCGTTCGAGTCAAGCCTGGGTCATTCGCCAATTCTGGATGGCATTTTATTCTCCGAGGCAACGAAACAACATTGATTTACAGCTGCTTGCGGAACTTAGGGCGCGGCCAAAAAATTGCTGTTTTGAGACGTTTTTGATCGTTTTCAGCAGATCGCCCGCCGCGGGCTCAGTTCTCACTCTAGGTCTCTGAAAACTAGATAGTCCTGTCCGTGCTGCAATCACGGAGGGCTCTGCGTCCTCAGATTTATCGTAGCGCATCTTTTACCAGTTTTATTATATATTATGTTGTTTTTCAACAGAGCTTGTACTGCGGGCGAGGAGGGCATTATAAATTCTTGTATAAATGTTCCAAATTTCCCCTTCATCTATACGGAGTGCACCTCGTCTCCAGATTGGGAATATACGCCCCCTATTCCACATACAACCCCAGTGAACCCTCGGAAGTGTAGTTTTATGAGTTGCAGCGCAGACTCGCTGCAGATTTATGCTCTCTGAAGCGGGAAGCATAGGGATCAACTCACATACGTCCCCATGTGTTCTCGAGGGCTTCTACGATTCAGTTTTATCCTCTGTGCCCTCGTTCCGCGACGCGACGCGCCCCCAATTTCATCAGTCACAGGCACGTGGCGTCACTCGGTAACACTTCCCTTTGTCTTCCTCATCCAATGGCGAACACTCGAAAAAATCAGAAAGTGAAGAATAAAAAGCCTGCCGTTGCAGCCCGACAGTCCACAAAGCTCAAGGAAAGCCGGGGTAAGAGCGAGGACTTTCCAGAAACCATCACCGTCTCCAGTCCATTATCCACTTCCGATCCTGCCCCCATTACCTCCGATTCTCACTCTGGTCATTCCGGATGCTAGCCCGCCTCCTCTCGCTAAGCCAAAGCGTACTGTGTCAAAGCGCGCGGCCACGACGGGAGGTTCCAAAAAGAAAGGGAAGCTGCAGATCCTGGATCTGGAACACGCGGGATCTGGTGATGACGACTTCGACGATGGCCCCGGAGTAATGGTTGCCGAAGCAAAGCATCTAGAATCGCTTCAAAAATGCACAGTCGCTGTCAAAGGTGTGGACCGACAAAGCCATGCAAGATCAACGCTTCAGGTACCCACCACCCGCTTTCTAACAATCAGCTTCGTGCTTGGGCCCGTTCCCTGGTTCGTACTCTGTTTGTGTTTATCCGGTGTCCCACTAACCAAGTATAGGCCGCCGGGACTCATGGGGTTACAATGCAGACACCGCCCAAGGCCGCTCTCTTTGCCACATTCTTCCGTAATTTCGATGTTCCCGCACCTGTTTTCACGCCACAAGCGCCGGCCAATCCGATGGGCCCATATATGACTGGTAATCCATTCCCCTTTATGCCCTGGGGAATGCCGCCTTCATTCACGGGACCCGGTCAAATGACACCCGCGCCGGTTGACACCAATTCCTCACATGCATCCAGTTCCTCTCACCTGTCCGCACTTCCATCGAGTTCTTCGCATGCCTCGACATCATCTCTGCCATCCGTAATTCTTTCAAGCGATCCTCCAGACATGGCCGCCGCCAATCCATACGCCGAGATTTCCGCCTTTCTCACTGATCTCTCATTCCACCATCCGAGACGCAACCTGCCGCAGTACATCCCCCGATTCGAGGATCTCGATTTTTACAATATTGACGAGATTCTCAAGCTCGGGACAGCGGAGGAACTAACACGTTTGGTTGATATCTCGGCCGGGAATGCCGCATTTTTATTGGTCCAAGTGAAGACAGAGATGAAGCGGGTTGACCGTATAATTCGTGCGTCCAAAGTCTAATTATTTACTCCTGAAGTCTGCAAGTCGTAGCTATTTCTTGATCTCTCGCTGCTATTCGATCGTACACACCCAGTTAGTCAAATGCATGTACGCTGTTTGCGATTCAACTCGTAATTTATGCCATTTACATGTAACCTGAGTGACCGAACCAGCCCCTGGAAGCCTGCACCGTAACCTGCTCGAGAACATTATACAAGTACAAAAACGGATCGGCTTCGTCACCAAGCTCAACAATGTTGCGGAACTCTTCACCATTGCGGGCAATGTAGGCCTTGACGAACGAGAAGCACTCCTCGATGGGGTTCAGATCCGGCGAGTACGGGGGAAGGAATATCAGCTTTACGCCACTGTGAAACAGTGAGTACTAAGCGGAGGAAAGAAAATAACTGAATTGGGACGTACGCAGCAGCGCACATTTCCTCCACTCCTTCTACGTGGTGGATCCGGCAGTTGTCGACAACTAGAACACTGTGTTTTGCGGGATAGGGATTCATTACGACGAGTAGTCCCTCGAGCCACAGCAAGAACTGTTCTCCGTTGTATCCTCCCTCCTTGATATGACTGTAGATAATGCCGTCCGTCGTGAGAGCCGGTAGTAGAGAATAACTGGGACATGTTAAGAGATAAAACAGCAGCGGAGAGAGTCTTACCGCGTGCCACGAACAAAGCAGCAGCGCTTCCGGGCTCGTAACCCCGCCATAGACCATCCATTCCGACGATACGACGTCAGAATATTGACTGCGGATTCATCTGCGCAGACGATGCGATCAGCGGGCTCATCCCCAATTTCCATGAGGAAGTCGCGCCGCGCGGTTTCGCAGCGTTCCGCCGCCTGCTTCGACAACTGTAAGTCCAATCAATCAGTAGATCTGCGCGGGACGTAAACAGACAGCGCAACCTGTTTTGACGAAAGCCCGAGGCGATGAAGCGTTCGACTAATGGTTGCCAATGAGGTGTCAACGTCGTGCTGGTTGTACAGTTGTTCTTGAATCTCGTCAAGGTAGATATCGGGACTATGGTCAATCAATGCGAGCATAAACTGGCAAATCAAGAGATAAGTGAAAGAAAAATGAGGTGAGGGGACAACAGAAGGTTTGTGTGGTCTGGAGAGAGCATTGGGGAGCGACCGAGGTAGGCCCGGTCACGGCAGACCTCACCAATCTCGCCCCATGTTGTGATGACGCGCTGAACGACGCGGAGGGGCATATCCAGATCAATCGCAATTTGGGTTGTTTTCTTGCCCAAGGTAAAGGCCTGATAGATGACCCTCTTCTTGAGGTCCTTAGAGTAGTGCTTGCGCGCAGGTTCCGCGGGAGGCTTTCGTGGCATGGTGGTGAGAGACAAAGGGAAGTGTTACCAAGTGACGCCACGTGCCTGTGACTGATGAAATTGGGGGCGCGTCGCGTCGCGGAACGAGGGCACAGAGGATAAAACTGAATCGTAGAAGCCCTCGAGAACACATGGGGACGTATGTGAGTTGACCCCTATGCTTCCCGCTTCAGAGAGCATAAATCTGCAGCGAGTCTGCGCTGCAACTCATAAAACTACACTTCCGAGGGTTCACTGGGGTTGTATGTGGAATAGGGGGCGTATATTCC